TGCTAAAGAAGTTTTATTTGTGGTCGTGTTTGTTTGTTAGAAACAGAAGTGGGATATCTCAAAAACAGGGGTCCCCTGGTGGCCTAGGTGTGAAAGTGCAGAGTTGACCATGACTTTGGAAATCTATCTTTCCTTCAGATTTCAATTAAATGTGATGGAAATTTAGGCTTTGAACCGAGGAATAACTTAGATTTTGATGTGGATCTGGAGCAGTAGTGTTACCATATATGGTCATTACACAGTATGAGGAAATTATGAGGTGTAGACTCTAGCCCGACCATAATGATATGTTGTCCAATTTTGTTTTAATGTAAACACGCGTTTAACTCCTATAACATTGTTGGACTGATAACTGACAGTTCAAATATCAAATATCACAATCGATGCAGCAGAACCAGAGATATCATCGTTTTTATTCCACACTTTCAAATTCAAATTCAAATTAACTTTATTTGCATGAATGTGTAACAATAATATAGCCAAAGCATCATACAAACTACATAAGAACAATCAACCCCATACATTTCATTTAACAAGTAAGTGCAAGTGTGTGTGTTAAATTTTTTTTAAATATATTAAAAATTTAAATAAAATAAATAAATAAAACAGTAAGTGTGTGTGTTAAAAAATTAAAATATATTAAAAATTAAAATAAAATAAATGAATACAACAGTAAGCGTGTTTGTGTGTTAAAAAATAAAAATATATTAAAAATAAAATAAATAAATTAAACAGTAAGCGCGCGCATGTGTGTGAAAAAAAAGATTTTATTTTAACTTTCTTTTTCCTTGTCAAAACTGATGCCAATACGACCACCAACATTTCAGTCGGCGATTTGGGTGCGTTATGCTGGTAGCAGCTAATGTCACCTCGAGCCAGTAGTTTCAAACAAAGATCAGGAACTGGCTACAGAGTTCTGGTAGGCTCACTTCTTTGTCCACACCTCGAGATTAATTGTTACTTTTTACTTTTTACTTTCTTTGTAGTTTTCACCACCAACCAACGCAGACTCAAGTGACATCACTTGAGGCAGTTTATCATTTCACACAGCTCCCTTTGGATCCATAAAAAGCTAATTTTCACATATGTGATATTTCACAAATTGTGTGAATAGACTTGATGTATTTAACATAATAATTATAAATAATAAGGATCCTTTAAATTAGTTTATTTTTTAATATATGTACTGAATGGGACATTTTACAGCTGATAAATTAATGGTTCAGGGAACAAACTATGTAATGGAGATCTTAAATGATCTTCAATGATCAGACATATCTTTGGTATTTCTGCACTGCAATTTCTTGTTACCTGTTTCCCCTAATGTACAGTATATATCAATATATCTGTGACAAAGCAACATTAGCTAATATATATAGGTTTAGCTCAAGCATAGCCTCAAAATTCTTCTTTCCTGAATTTCTTGGTTACATTTTATTTTTTATTTTTAACACAACCCCCTTAGTTTTTGTTCTTGTCCTTCTGGAAAAGATTTTCAGTTATGAGTTTGACTTAAATCTAAGCCTGGTATTTGAGTCATTTTTGTACATGTTTCACTTCAGACAGTGGGTCAATTCAAAGCTTAATTGTTGAGTACAGATTGATGAATAAAGTTCATAATTGAAAGAAAAATGTTTGTCCCCTGTCCTGCTGTGCCCTGAAGACAACAGCTGCTGACAATTGTTGGCTGTCCTCTGCTTGTAATAATAACCGTGGATGACAGACCCATTCCCCAGTGAATTTGTGTCACTGCCAGAGCATCCATCCGTCCATCCATTAGTGAGCCTGTCACCATTACCTACAGCACACTGACATGTGTCACCGCCTAATCCGTCTTGCGTAGTCGAACACAGTCATTCTGGTAATTAGTCAAGTCAATTTTGGGAGTGTACCGATTAGTTTTTACATGGCTTTCACACTCCTGATTGTGAAATGCTGCCATGTTAAATTAATTGCTGTCTTTCTTTGTATATTTTGCTTGTCCCCACGGTCACAGTTCCTTCTGTAGAGAATGAACGTGGAGAAGGTTTTTTTTTTGTTCCAGGCCATTCTTCGTGATTTTGTGAACATATCTTAAAGCTATTACAGCTGACTTATTCTTATAACTTCTTCTTATAACTATAAAGTCTCACAGAAACAGTTCAGCATAACTCAGTATCAGGGGTTGTGTGTGTAACGACTCAATTAAAACATATAAAAACAGTAGTAACAACCTTTACAGTCTGTCGATCGAGTGCACTGGATTTCAGTTTACATTTGAGAACCTGCAGGCAAATTTGTTCCCTTGGACCAAGGATATTTTGAATATCAAACAACTTATAGAGAAATACTTTCTTTACAGCCTCGGTCTGTTGTGTCATTCATTGTTTGCACTATGGTTTGCACCACGAGAGTGCACCTGCTTCTATTAAACATCCTCATTTTGCTCGGCTGGTATAAAACAATGCAGAAAAAGAATGCAGACAAATACAATTTAGTTGTTTAGCAGTAGGAGGCAGACAGTGTGTATTAAATCACCCTTTTTTTGTAAATGGAACTCAAAATGTACAATTTTTTGAGACTGACTGCTGATTTTTATTCTTTCTCATATGCCTGTGTAGTGATCTTGATTTATGTTCAAGTTTCCAGATTTGGTCCACCCCCTTGCTGTAAACAACCACTGTACAGCCAAAGAATCCATTTGTCCAATCTGCATTTCATATTTAATTCAATGCTGTTTGCATGGATAACTTCTGACTGGAGCTTAATGCAGTGTTTAATACAGCTGGACAATGACGAGGGAAGACGGCCTCTTTTTCATTATCTCCTCTCTCTTCTCAAGCTTCAGGCAAGGCAAGATTGTTATGCTGACCGTTCACTTAGTCTTGGTCTGAATGCTGTCTAGTCAAAAGCAAAAGCTTCCTCATGACTTAAATGAGGCCCCACACTGTCGCGTCTCTAGCCTCCGTGGAGTCATTGGACTCCAGATTATTCCAAACACACAGTCTAAAATCAGCCAGTCCAGCTACTGTGCATCTGTCAGCTGTTTTCTTATGTCAATCTCTCAGATTATAAAACTTGCAGAAATGCAGTTATAGAAAACAACACCGCAATTCTTCCCGTTATGTGAATCAGTTAGCTCTTTCTCTGAGCGTGATGCCAACTGTGACACACGGGTGTTGAGTGTCAGGTTAATTGGGATGAACTGTTAATTGATTAGTGCGGTTTAGAAGCCTGTGACTTTGCTTTTTATCGACTTGAATGCATTAGTCTGAGGAGACAGTCATAGAGAGAAAAGACAAGAAGGAAGGAATTTAGCAGAGTTTATATTTATATTTTATATATTTAGGCATTTCAATTGTATGTCATCAAGATGTACAAGAATATGTTTATTATTGCTAGTGTTGTTATTATTGTTAGTATAAGTTTACAGTAGTACCAGGGCCATAACTACCATTGAGGACCAACAGTATAGCGATCAATTAGGTCATGTCTTCAGCATTGGACGGATTATGATACAGTGGGGCCCTGGGCAAAGAAATGTAAAACGCCCCCTTTCTATCTAGCAGCAAGTCACCCCCAGACAGGGCAGTGTTGCTTGTCATGATTTTCTATCATTTTAGTGGCACTTTGCAGGTTAACCATAATTTTAAGCAAAATGTTTATGTTTCTCAAAAACAGAACTTTAAAAGTAAAGGCACTGCTGTTGGTAGAAAACTACCTGAACATCAGTGTTTTATTCATGCTGTAGATAAAGAGAGGCTGTCTAAAGCCTTCCCAAAGGTTTTCGACACAGCAGATGTTATTATACTGAAGCGATGGGACACCTAATTTCTGATTTGATTGGTTTCACTGAAGTATTTGCAGATACTTCAATTGCTCAGGAGCAAAAATAAAATACAATCGAGACATTTACTTTTAACTGGGCCCGTTTATTTCAGCAAGACATGTAAATAACAGTCACTTCAAACTGAGGTTGTATCTTAGGGGCCCCTGTGCCCAGTAGGCCTGTGCAGTAATCCATCAATGATCCTCTGTAATATTTATAGTAATAAAGAGTTCACTTTCTGCAACTGCATATGCTTTGCACATGTTGGGGGTTTTAAGACTTTTAAGATTCTGATATTCTTTAGGCTAAATATCTTGAAATTTGACTGCAATGTGGATTTCCCACCAGAACTACACACCTGGCTGTGTAGAGAAGATCTGAAACAACATTTAGGTCATCATGTAGGGCAATGAAGTTTACCAAACATATCATTTGCAGTTTGGTTTGTGCCTAGTGAAGAATATACAGGGGAGGTGGCATTGCGCTGGTTGATTTAGATGACCTCAGTATTTCTAAAAGGAGTGATAGCACTATGTTGTATCCTGGATAGAGACTTAAAATGTCTAGTGGTCTTTTTGCACCCTGAAGAAAATACATCTCTGGGGACATAATCAATAGATGGATTTAGTTTCTGTTATAAAAACATAAAAGAAAAACATCCGCCCTGCCTGTGATTTCCTGTCTATGTACAATATCACACTCAGTCGTCTGAAATAAATCAGAGATCACTGAAGCATGAGCGACCCCTCTCCATCTCAGCTCTGCTTCTTTTCTCTCATCTGTTCCTCTGTGGTGTTATGCAGCTCTCAGCTATCGCTTTGCCCTTCTCGCTTATTTTCACCTCCCATGTGACTGATGCAGAGAACTGAACCAAATAGGGACTCAGCTCACTGGATCATTAGCCCAATCCTCTCTAACAGGCTGATTGTACTGGGATGATGTGGCTCTTGTTGCATTAATGCCCTCTGTGATGTTACAAAGCTACAGCAGATACCGCTGAACCTCTGCCTATAAAAGACATGCTGGGTTAATTGATTTAAGTCACTTATTCTGTAGAAAGTTGCCTCTGAGAACATGCAGAACATTTAGCCTAAGCATAGCACTCACATGTTTGGAGGAATATAAAACACATTCAGAGCTCCTCTGTGAATGTAATATTATATTTCCTAACCACATCTTTTCTCTCTTACAGGAGTCGACTTCAAAATGAAGACACTAGTAATAGATGGTATCAAAGTGCGGATACAGATATGGTAATGTTGTTACACAACAGTAGTTAGTAGAGAGGATATTATTCATTTGCAAATATGCTATAGCTATCAATATTTGTGGTTTTATAATAGATCATGTTCAGGTCCCTGTATCGACCACTGAACACAGAGGTCTTGTTTGATTTTTTTCTGGGGACTTCTGAGGTTTAGCAACCTGTAAGGTTTAAGCTAATTTGATAATAGTACTTTCATTCAGGACACTGGAGTTTGTGTCCTGTCATAAACCTGCAATTAATAGTGGCTTTTATAAACTGGAGCCATGATTTCCTAAACTTAGCCACACTGTAGCGGCCATGAGCTGATAATGCAGAAATACCGAATTTTAAAAACCTAATTTTTAGTCTAGTGGCTCTCTGACTCTGTTCTTAGCACAGGGGTGATTTGAGCTAAATGCTAACATGCTCAGACTGACTATGCTAACATATTGATGTTTAGAAGGAAAGATTTACCATGTTCACCAACTTAGTTTAGCCTGTTAGCATGCTAATATTAGCTAATTAGCACTAATCACAAAGTACAGCTGAGGCTAATGGGAAAGTCATTAGTTTTGGAAGTATTTGGTTATTAATCAAAGTAGCCTATTGTATGTAAGTATGTACTGGACACATCTAAAAATTTACCTTATGTCGGTGCTAGATCAAAATTAAGGGGACTATCAAAGTAATGAGACTTTATTATTAGGCACCTTGAATATCTTTAACATATTTCACAGAAATCTATCCAGTAGTTGAAGAGATATTTCAGTCTGGACCAAAGTTGTGGACTGAAAATGCCTTCACCAAAGCCCTGCCACACACTAGCATGGCTAAACAACCCTCTTCAGCTTAATGCTGTTGTTTTTTATTTCATCAAAAGTTGTAAAAAAAAAAAAAACACAATAGAAAAAGTTACGTTATATTTCACAGATACATAGTTTACATTGAACAGTGATCATCTAAATGACGAAACATTTAAAGATTCTGGACATGTGTCTATAAAAATTCTGGTTACTGGCCTGGTCATATTGTCACATTACACTCTCACAAATGGATTTGTGTATCTTCTTATTCGTATATGCTTCTTGTCTTTCCAGGGACACTGCAGGCCAAGAGAGATATCAGACCATCACTAAGCAGTACTACAGACGAGCCCAGGTAGTTGACCTCAAGTCTCCCCCATTGACTCTGCTCCTGCAAGTGATTTCCCACACATTAGTGTAATATTATTACCACAGAGTAGCGTAACAAATTTAAATCAAATTCATTTTTGAAATTAAATTTGTTACAGCTATGAGAATAATTCATGCCTCATACTTGGCACCACTTCAGGTATCAGGATTTGATCTCACGCCAGTGGTATTTTAAATGTACTGTTTCTTATATTAAAAAGACTACATGTCCCTTTCCCTCCCAGAGGATGTTGCAAGTAGCCAAGGTCTTCACGGCCACACACAACCAGCACACTGACATTGTTGTGTATGAATTTTCCCTTTGCTTCGGGCTGCTAAAGAGGTTAAACTGGCTGAAATTGAATTGTTCATTTACCAGAAACTGGAAATGAAATTGGAAGAAAAGTAACCTGTTCCTGTGTAGTGCTACAAAGCCAGCCAGTGGCTTACAATGTCAAATGAATTGTTGGTAGAGGCTGCCAACTTTCTAAGTGGTGGTCTGGTTTGTTTACAGGAATCATATGAATGTTTCAAAATGTATTTTAAAATCCTGGATCAATTGATAATGTTTGTTTAAAAAAAAAACATGACTCTAAAGTGCATTAAAATGTGCTGGATCTCATCTGTTTTTTAAATCTTTGGACATCTCTCTTCAGGGAATCTTCCTGGTGTATGATATCACGAGTGAGCGATCCTTCCAACACATCATGAAGTGGGCCAGTGACGTGGATGAGGTGAGTCACAGAGATTGGGGATTTGAGATCAACAGGCGTTATTTTTCACTTTGTAGAAAGGGCAACACTGACAAAACTACTTACTGTGCAGAGGCTTCAGGTTGACAATAAACAGATGCCAGACATGAAAAACCAAATGCTTTGGCCTGACAGATACTGCTTTGCTGTGTTTATCATGTTCCATCTTAATTTTCATATAACTTCATTATATTTTTAAATGTGAAGTCATAGATATTGGAAGGAGAACATTCTTTCCTTCTTATAGTCACATTTTTCAATCAGCCTGGAGTCTTCATGAAGCAATCTCGTCTGCCCTGCTTTCCCCTGTCATTCCCCAGATGATTTTATTCTATTAATTCATTATGGACCTAATTTCCTCTATGGGTCTGTCTGAATATATACTCTATTGATCTTGGCACGATTCCCATTTACTTTTAATTTAGGTCTCATTTCCACTCCTGTGTTTCTCCCCACTGCACTCTCTTGACATTTTAAATTTCTCTTTCTCTCCCTCTCTCTTTAATTTTGTTTTTAATTCATCTTCCTTATACGTACATATGTCTAATTTTTCACGTAAACCCCTGCAGTATGCTCCTGACAAGGTCCAGAAGATCCTCGTAGGGAACAAGTCAGATGATGTGGACAAGAGGCAGGTGGCTACAGAGCAAGGTATCAAGGTGGGTCAAGTGGTGGATTTCACAATGGATTATTAGACTTGAATGTTTTTTTTTGCCTCTGAGCTGTAACTCTATATATTCTAATAATTTCACATGAGAGTGGTATCAACCTTCTATCTTACTCTTGACAAGAACGCAATCCCAAAGGTTGAACTATTCCTTTACAGAGGTACCTACTCCAGGTTCCCCAATATGTTGAAATCATTGGATTAATTTTCAGCTCTGTAATAAAATCATGATTAGAGTTAAGCAAAATGTCATATCGCTTCTTGGATTTTTTTTCTATTTGAAACATTGGTTCCAAGTTCACCAAAACATAAAATTGGTGTAGTTTTAGTCAGGCATTTGTGTCTGGTCCATAAGCAAGCTCTAAAGGCCCTGACACATCAAGACTAATGCTTTGCCTCCTGTTGCCTCTACAGACTGTATAAAAGATGTGGACGTAGCCTTCAGGTCTGAAAAGTGCCTTTAAACTGCATTGTTTCTAATGGCCAGAAGGGGCGACTAAAATGGCTGCAGTCAGAATGCACAGAAATGCATAGAAATTAAAAAAATTACCCCACTTCTCACTCGATTTATTACCTCAATAAACACTTTGCTGATGAGTTTATGGTCTCACTCAGTAGTTGCAAGTCTTCTTCAATACAGCATGATGTTCATTTAGTAAATTATGGTCCCATTTAGAGGAAAATACACGATAAACCAGGGTATGCTGTAGGGTGTGGCTACATTGCCAACAAGTCTCTACCACAGTAAAGAAAGTGCAGAAATGTGTGTCCCACCCTTACCAGCTCAACCTCTCGAACTTCCAGTTCCATAAAACCAAGGTGACTACGGCCAAAATGTCAAACTCGGGGCTTCAAAATGGTATTCCACAAACCAATGGGTGACGTCCACTTCTTTTATACAGTCTATGGTTACTTTGATTTTTCATTAAAAGCTGCTCTTGAAAACACAACTAAATCTGACAGCCAGCACCCCACATTGCACCTGTGTGAAAGCAAATAACTAGTCGTCAGTTGTCTGTGCTACTAATCCAAAAAACAATAAAACAGAAGTGTTTTTTTCAGCAAAGTAAAATATGTCTCTGTTATCTGTCTTGCAGCTAGCTAAGGCTTATGGAATGGACTTCTTTGAGACAAGTGCCTTCACCAACCATAATATAACAGAGGTGATGTGATCTGGATAGCCACTGCTCAGAATCTCTAGCCATGTACAGAGTAGTAACATGGAAGTGACTTGATAAATGACAGTGCATTTTTTATTTCTCTTGTCTTGTTCTTATCCTATGACTGTGCTTCCCTCCAAGACTTTCACACGACTGGCTGAACAGGTGCTGGCAGCCAATAAAAAGGACCTGGATCTCCTCCGGATGTCCATTAATGACGAGATTAATCTTGCTGCTCTGGAGGAAGAGGAAGGACTCTGTGACAGTACAGCGGGCGACCAAGGCAAAGGCTGCTGGTGTTAAAGAAATAACAGGAATTAAGTTGAATATGTTATCAGCAGACACTTTGCACACTCTGGGCAAAATGTGTCTCCTTTTGTCTTTAGTTGAAATAAAGAGGAACACTGAGCTGCTATTGTGAAACCAGCTATTTCCCTCTGTTTCACGGAGCAATGCCAGAAATGCTAATGAGCCGTTTGAGAGCAGTTTCAAGGACAAAGGTGGAAACATTTTGCCACAATGTGCCAAATGTGTTGTGAATTAACCAACTGAAGGTCCAAATGTCAGGCCTCCCTAATGGGACAGAATGCTTATTGTCTAAGCACTAATTCCTGCTCTGTTCAGTGTGTCTATGATGTAACCAAATGCAATCCCTATCCACTACATATTCGGTAATTGACATATGGTTTAAAAGCCAAAATACAAAACGTCCAGAAGAGCTGGAAATTAAGATTTCATCATCTTTTCTTACAGATTTTGTAAAATCTTGATGTAAAACATAGGGAATGACTTGGAATTGCCCATCACTGATTTGAAACTTTTCACAAAGTTGTATTTCACATCTTTTTCCCAAGCTCTGTCTCTGATATTGATCATAGGGCTTGGTGCCTTGCAAATCAACAATGTGCTTGCTTACGTTTGGCCTTCATCCACCTCTTTTACTTTATGTGGGTATTAGCGCTCCTGCACCCCTATAGCCTTTCTACCGATGAATGCATTAGATGTAGTGTAAGAGTTTCACCACAAGAGGGTGCTACATGCATTGCAAAAACAGCAGACACAATGGGGAGGTGTTCAGTGTTGAGTTAAGCTAGTTAACTTTTTTGTCTTTTCCTATGTAAAGTTTTTGGTTGCAATTGCACTCGCAATAGCTACCTTTAATATGATTCTGAATATATGCAGATATTCTGTTATTTTCTTTGTTGTTTTCATTCAAATGTTGGCTACACAGAGCGTTTTGCAGCTTGGAATATCATCCATGTAAGACCACACAAACACAATTTACAGTCAAGTATGCCAGTATAAGTTGTTAATTGAGGGAAACATTGAGAGCAAAAAGATTAAATTTCCCTGTAGCAAAACTGAACATATTTTTCATTTTATAGTCTCTGTTTATAACAGCAAATATCCTATGGTACAGATCATTTGATAACTGCCAAATGCATTGTACATACCATGTTTTTCAAAGCATTGTAGATTGATAGACTTATGAGGATACGCCATTAATTTTTTGTTTTACCATTAGAGGGCTGTTTAAAAAAATCCACAATGATATTCTAGATGATCTGAAATATTCCCTCTATGAAGATAATAATGTCTTGGTCATTATGTCCTTTTCTCAATGTTTTGTACAGAGTCCAGTAGAGATGTCATTTCTTGCCCCCTTCAGACTTAAGGGACAAGCAAGAGTTTTGCATGCGATCCACTCTTCTTTCCTTTCTTTTATTGCAACTTCAATGAAGTTAATAATCAACCGACCGTAATACAAGTATAGCATTTGACCAGAGTTGCCTGTTGTAGACTTAAACAGAATGACCACCATTGGAAGAACTTTGGCTACATTTTTTGCAACTTAGTAAAAGTTAATGCTACTTAAAACAATTAATCTGTGCACCGCGTGAAATGCCAGTATGTTGTATTGAATGATGTTCTGGACTAAGCTCTAGATACGCAATGTATCTGTGTTGTTTTCGAGAACAGTTTTTTTCTTTTAGACTCCTTCAACTTGTACTTGTGGAAATGTATTACATACAACATGTAAAATGTAACATGTTATTCTTGAAGAAAAGATATGAGATGAGTAAATACTTGCAGATGTATGACTCAGTACCAGTGTTTTTCTTGTTTATGTTGAGACCAATCAGCCCCTTTATATGAGATAGAGACAGAGTACATACTGTAGCACTATGTTGGAGTAATGAGTACTGATTGTACCATAAGAACATGATCTTAACTACTATACAAAGACACAACACACCACAAACAAATGTCTTGTAGATTATATATCTGTGTATATCCTCATTTGTACATATAATATCAAACCTTCTAAAGCTGTATGTTCAAACAAACAACAAAATAACTATAGCTGTTGAGGAAAGAAAAGCATGTACCAACAGCACATTGATCTACAATGCTTATGAAGGCTATAGGTAATATTTAGGAGTACAGATGTGATGCGGTTGTAAGAACTAACTAATAAAGATATGATTTTCCACAATTTAGAATATCGGTTTATTTTCTTGAGCTGTGTGTTAAGGTATGAGTTACTGATGACATGCACATTTAATGGAGGATTTGAATTCATATACAGTGAGTACAAAACAGGGGAAAGAATTCACACACACACATTGACATCTTCCTTGAGGTTAAGCACAGCAGTCCATTGGTTACACTGGATTACTAAATTGATCTCTGAGTTACAGAAACCCAGGCAGCGGAAGGACCCCATATTGATCAAGCTTGTTCAATAGAGAGCATGTGACCCTCTCATGAGCAGCCCATTGAGCCATTGTTTTGGCCCATTGTTCATAAAGGGGTGGACGCTTTTTCCTCCAATGTCTCAGTAGTATCCATTCAAAATAGTCAACTTCCTATCAAAGCAGGATAAGCCAGTAGTTCAGCAATTCCCAAACAGTCTGCTGGTATTCATTTTGATAATTATGGTGGAATCAGAGTTCTTAATTTTCAGTTGGATGAACTGCATTGTACATGTGCATTGATCAAAGGGTCACACAATAGTTCATGTAGTAAGTGGTGGAGCTTTTGAGCGATGCCCCTGCATGATGATGATCTAGTAACCAATCCTCCAATTGGGACAAACAAAATTGATTCGGTTAACACATTTTCATTGCATCATCTCACTTCTCATAGTATTTATCATCATATTACCGGACCCTATTGATAATTGTCATGACATGGTGGCTGTGTGCCAAATCACATAAAAATAGATCAGATTGATGTTCAGTGCAATGAGTTGTGCTCCTCTAATATACATAACAGTACTCTGCACACAAGGTGTTAGACAGACAGTTATATTACTTCCTAATTGTACCACTAGATGACAGATTCATCCCATTATCTCATTCTCTCCTTGTTTGGCAGAGCCTGCTTTTAGAGTATAAGACACTTAAAACGTGTCATGGTGAGAAACGCATTAGACATTTATAGTGTTACATAGGAAATATTTACAGCAATAAACAGAACCACGAGTTGCTACAGAATCCTGCAACTGCCATGTGGTTGTCACTTTTATTAAAATAACTTGAATACTTTAAATACCCTAATGCCCACCTGACAGTTTTAGTACACTACAACTCTCTACACGGTAATTTAGTGTACGCAGAAAAAGTTTAGTAGCCCAATATAAATTTGTCATTAGTCGCCAGTGATGGGGGGTTCTCAGTAAGAATTTCAGGGGGAAAAAAGCTGCAAAGCTTTTGTTCATCACTTCATCTGAGTTGTTAATGGTGAGAACTCATTAAAGCTCTTCAGGGTGAAATTAGCATAATGATGAATATGCATGTGGAACAGTTGTCTGGTTGACAGAAATGACAGCTCAGTATCTATCACAAGGCTGAGTGACACACGGACACACGTACAGAATAACAAGGCAACTTGCACACTGACACATAGCACCCACGCACACCGCACACACGTACACACACACATACTTATATGTACACAAGATGGGAGTTCAGTGTTGCTGTTGTGAGCAGAGGCCATCATCATCATTTTCTGCAACACAATCCACTACCACATTTCTCCAGGTCTTGCAGCTGTCTGATATTCGGCCATATGGTGTGTGTATGTGTGTTTGTGTGTGTGTTTGTGTGTGTGTGTGTGTGTGTGTGTCAGCCTATCTAAATGTAAATGATTGATTGATTTGGAATCTGGGGTGTGTGTTTCTATTCATGGGAAAGAAAGAGAAAGACAGACAAGCTCTCTGAAAATACAGAGAAGAGAGTTCATTCATGTTCACACAAATCAAGCTGAATTCCCTTGACCTTTACACCATACAATTGTGGCCTGGCTTTAAAAGACAAATACTTATTTTCAAGAAGGGGGTAACTTTAACACAATGAATTGTGTTGTTTATTTCACAAACATTAATTGCTAGCACATTAATGTCAGCATGTTACTAACAGAGAGCTGAAGTCTTGATGTCTCCAGGCTAACAGCTATTCCACAAGCTGTTGTAATTCAATGAAAGAACAAAGTGTTCTTGGGGTTTACTAAAATATTCTTAGCACTTAGAATCAGAATCGAAACCCTTCACGATTTAACAAAGTTAAACAAGGATAAATTTGTTAGCATACAAAAAACTTCACACTCCACGACAGTTAGCTAAATACATAATTGTAGCTGTTTGTTTCTGTTATCCATAATATCAATCATATCTGGCGTGGTCATGGTCACTCAACTGCCCACTTCTGTCAAGCTGGTGACGATAAGCCCACAAAGGTCTTGCACTTGTTGGAAATGCCATCCATTAAAGTTGCTACCAAAGTGAAGTTTTCTTACATCTGAAAGAGAAACCGGAAATTGCAGTTTTACTCCACTATATCCTCCATTGATGCCAGCTTCTACTAGCTACCTTTAAAGCTTTAAAACTCACTTGGGGGAACTCCAATCTGAAAAATCCCTACCTCCAACATATTAACACTTTATAAAGTTGCTTTGCTAATGTGTTAGCAAACATTAGCTGACACACACAGGCAACATGATGCAACATTCAGCACTCATTGTATGAGTGTTTCAGACTACTTGACTAATGTACATCCAATTCCTGCATTCCTTTTAATTTTTGTTCTCCATAAACTCTGCAGGGTCTTAAGCTGCTAGGGCTTTGACTTTCTTCATTAGCGAGTTGCTAATTTTGCTGCTGGACAGTCACTTTAGCTGTGGGTTTCTTTGTTAAAACAAAATAATTGATTGATGACAGAAGAATTTATAGGCCACAAATAGCTTAAAGAGGCTACTTAGACCTGGGGAAGGCTGCCGAGATGGGTCATATAACACTCTGTGGATTTGGCTTTGTTGTTTCACACTACACAAAGACATTTCAGTGATTAAATGTTGACTGGTGCAGCTTTAAAGATCACAATAAACACATTTATTCATATTCAACACATATTTTTCCTGAATTCACAAATGTTTTCCAATGATCATAATTTGACAAATAATTCTCATTATCGCAATTGTTTGACATTTTGAAAATAAGAACAGGCCTTTTCTCTTGATCATTTGTGACAATGAATAATCCTGCTTTGTTGAAATAACATTATTTGTGATCACAAGAAAACAAAACATGAGAAAAAATAACACACTTGTCCATGAGTATTATGGCTAGCCAAATATGTAGCCTATGACTTGCTGGTCAACAAGATGACATCTCAACACAAAATGAATCAAATGTATCAGTAACAAACATATTCAGTACCCAAGCAAAAATATGAACCTCATCAAATTAATTTGGTACGACCGCATAGCACATTTGTAGGATCAAAATCGGCATAGTCAAGTGTTCACAGCCACTATTACTCATGAGATGACGACTTAATGCAAAGGCCACCAGAGGCCCTCTCTAAACACCCACTCCTAATCCTGAAATACCTGCCCGGCAGCTTTAATTAACTGCTGTAGCACCCTGCCAAGCCAGACCCAGACGCCCCCCCCCCCCCCCCCCCCCCCCGCCCTCTGCACTTCCCAGTATCCTCGCCAATGCCTCCCTTACAAATGGAGCTGTGGCTTCATGGTCACAGCGTGCCAGAAAATCAGAGGAGAAAATAGACTCTCAATCACACGTTCTGATGTAGCAGTGTAGGTGGAAGGTTACTTGTACAGCCAGATCTTACATTGAATCATTTTGTCCTCCATCTTCCCATACCACCTGTGGTTGCACGGTGCTTTTTAAAGCTACCTGTGTTCTTAAGAACCACCTCGATCTATGCTCTTTAACAATATCTAAAAACTGAGTGTGAAGGGCGAGTCTGCTGCAGAAATATCTCCCTCCAAAACAACAACAGCAACAGAGAAAATTTGCCTTACGTTCTGTGATCACTGCTTCAGTGTCATTTTGCAGTTCATGTTGCTTTGACTCAGCGAAAAGAGCATGTAATTAAGAGATGATGGGAAACTTGTAGAGCTGAGCCCGAATGGTCGAAGATGCGATGCTTCGATGGGCTGAGCCTGGTTCGACTGTCAATCTCACAGTCGAAGCTTCGCAGTGAAACAAGGATCATGCCATTTTGGCGACAGGGGGTGCTCAACATCTGATTTTACATAGGACTACCAGTTTTCTCCCAATAAGTTAATATACAGCCTATTACAATATACATTTCAACGTTTAATGTTGTAAATAAACATGTAAAAAGAATAAAACTTAAAAAAAAAATGTTTTTAAAGTGTGTAAATAAATCCAAAATTGTAACCCCTAACCCTGGGTCGTCAGTGCGCATACCTAGTGAAAGAAGAGGAAAACTTGCTGAAGAGACGGTGAGGAATTGCGACGTGCTTGCAGTTGTTAGCAGCAGGGAATGCACGCAAAACTCTCTACAAGACCGGTGAATGGCAGGCGAGAGAGAGAGAGAGCGAGGGAAGGGTCAACAATAAGCGTCCGTTTAGCTGGAAATTTACAGTGTAAGTTGAATGAATAGAGACAAGCAGCTTCTCAAGATAAAAGCGGAGCCAGCATTTGTTACCCTCTCCCTGCCTCGCAATCGCCGCGCACAAAAACACACATGATTCGACTATCAGTCGACTATAGGCAGGACTTGACGATTCTGATTGGACTATGTAAATCCTTAGTTGGGGACAGCCCATGTGTAATGTGATAGGTGTTGCTCATAGTAACAAAGCCATAAAGAATCATCACCTGATTCTGCAGTTCCTCTCTTTTCTGTAAGCATCCTTCAGCTCACTGTTTTTCTGGGCTGCAATTATACTGCTTTGGTTCACTCTCAACGATCTGATCATCCTTATTTCCAGATGCAGGAGGCAGCTTTTCTTAGTGAGATATTTTTTTTTTTACCTAAATGCACTTCAATCTAGAAACACCTCTTTTTGAAACCCCCAAACTAAAAATTAGGGGCTTCCATGAAGCACTTGAAAGCAACTTAAAGCCAGTACAATCCAGTCAGTTCTCCCATCCTCCCACCTTTGTATACACAGCAACACACCTTATTGCACCGACTGCATCACATAACAGGTAACATTTTTTCATATGGAGTTCTGAATGTGTGGACTTTGAATTCCAACACAAACAAGAAGTCCTTAGATTAGTCCTTTAATTAGTATTTTAAATGGATCAACTGACTATGTGTAACGTTAACGGTGCCACTCGTAGCTATCAACCCACTCAGCTCTGCTCTGATTTAATGTCTGGGTTTTATGGCATACAACTTTACTGTTTTGGATTACTATCACTACTCTCATTAGTGTGGCCAACAGCAGCAGCAGGCTGAAAAAAAATGAGAATCTGAACTTCTACAATTCCATGATAAGTGAACAACTTCTATCTGTTCATGAAGACGATGTCATATGATTAAAAGCTCCAGAACAGCTACTAAATTGACTTGAGCTGAGACTGTTTTGTCAAAAGCAACCATGTTTGCATGACTCAAGCGTGTATTTGTCAGCCTGTGGTTAACTATTTTTAATCGCACGGAAGACACTGTGCTTGTCGGAAGCATGGTGAAATGTGTTTTTGTTGGTGAATCACTGCATCAGCGTCTTGTCTCACAGATCAAGCTCTAATCCTGCCTCCTTCCTTTCAATCGTGTTAGAAACACTAAGCATGTGAGTGTTCTTGCGTTTGAATGCAGCATGTATGGGGGGGATTTCTGTTTGTCAATTAATCACACTTCCTTTCTACATGTGCTATCACAGTAGAAGCTGGAGCTGGGCCCAAGCAGCAGTGGCTGAACATATAGGCCTACTGAATGCTGGCGCACATACACACAGACCTGCAAGAGATTGGTGCAGTTTCATATCTGATGTCAATGGTACCTTCTCTTTTCATATAGTTTTTTCAACCTCGGCCCCCAAATCCTGTCAGAGCATGTCCGTATCCTGGCCAACCATTGGCTCATCTCCCCTCCCCCCGATATTAAGTTAGAAATCAAACACATAACAACTCCAGTGTCTCCTCAGGATAACCAGTGTTATTTCTGGTGAGGAAATGTGTGTGTTTGAGTGCACGTGTGGCGGGGGAGGCTGATACGACTGAGAGGCGGTGGCAGAGGAGGAGTGTGTTTACACATATATAGGTGCGTGTGTACGTGCCCTTATGTGCGTGCTTGAACGGGGTCCAACTCCAATGCACTTGTTCTTCTGCAGGGTGCTGTGATGTCATCCTCCCACCTCTCCACTGTGTTTTCACACCAGCGTGAGTCACACAGCAGCTCTCTTCGTGGGGAGGTGTGTGCATGCAGTGCCAAATGGGAGGTATTTTGAACTTGAATTCTGTCTGCCTCTGCCTTTTCAAACATATCTTAAAAGAATTCTCTCTAAGTTCCTGTACAGTACAAAAGCAGGCTGGGATTGCGAGGATAGTGCAGCACTGCTTTTGACAGGCAGCTTGGATGTGAAACTTCAGAGAAAGCACCTGCCCCTTTACCACATGCAGAGACGGTTAACAATATATATATTATTCATCTCTAGCAGTGTACTTTCTTAACATAAAGCCTCTTAATAAGTATGCATGCACACAATGATAACCCAAATTCCCATCAAACAGACCTGCATAGGTCCCTGCAGCTGAGGAAAAACAGAACTTGTGAAGAACTATGAAGAAAGACAAATATTTCACAACCTTTTAAAGTTGGTTTAGCTGCATAGGGGGGGAAAATCCAGCTCCAGTTAGTGAAGAAGAAAACAAATACCAAAGCTGTTTTTCCATGCATTGCTGATTCTTCTTTAACCGCTGCCAGACTGAAAGTGAGGGCAAAAAAAAAAAGGGCATAAAGGTACAAGAGGAGAGCAAAGCCTGCCTCTCTCTATTTTGCTTTTATTTTTGACTCTTTCTCAATAGATTCAGTATGTTTCTGGCATATGGCTGAAGCCACAGCCATAAAATACACACATGTTAAATAGCTTATGATATACCCTTCCTTAGTCTTGTCTTAATTTTGTTTGTTTTCACAACTGGCATTCAACTTGGTGGACAGGACTTTAAGGCGTGTTCAAATAAAGCTGATTGCATTTGGCTTGTCATGAATAGGTTTATTTGTCTAGCTCTAACTACTTCAAACCAAGTACATCTGAGCCATATGCCCCAGGCTACACTCCAGCACATGGGCTGGTAAGACTACAACATCCATAATTGTTATGACAATATGCCACCTCCAACTAATCATCCGGCCATTCTCTAAAGAGCTTATCCTGTTCAAGGCCATGGGATCAACTTGATCAATTTTAATAAATAAGAAACATTTCAATGACAATGAAAGTAAAAGCTGAATAATTTTGACTTTTCATTTAGTGCCTCCTTTGAGGTGTGAATCCAACGCAGTCCTTTCAAAATGAGTTTATGGTCTCAATCGCTAGTTTCAAGTCTTCATCAATACAACATGATGTTCATTTAGTAAATTATGGTCCCGTTTAGAGGAAAATATACCATAAAGCAGAGTATGCTTCAGGGTGGGATGCCATATGATTGAAAAGTCGTTACTATGGTGACCTGTCAATCAGGCTAGAGTGACCCCTACCCACGGCACAGTGTAAATTTAACTTGTGCCACTGAAAAAGCTAATTAGGAGTTGGCTGTTCACTTTCTCTGGTGAGTACATTTAATTTTAAGCCTGTTATTCGCTAGACAAAGTTAACAGCCCTGTTAAAATGACAGTTAATGTGAATTACAGATGCACCTAGCTAAACAAGCTAGCTAGCTCCACACACGACCGTTAGCTCCACTGTCTCATCCAAATATGGTCATGTTCGGTGTCGCTGGTTGCAAAAACTCAACGTGGCGGCGCCCTATCCTCCAAACTCAAGGCTTCAAAACGTCAGTCCACAAACCAATGGGTGACATCAGAATGACTACATCCATTTATATACAGTCTATAGTCTTTTAGTGGTCAGTTGCATGTGAACAACTAATGACATTCCCATCACACCCAGCTTTGTGTTTGATACTACTTAGCAAGTGTTGGTATACTCACATGAACATTACCAGGTAAACATAGTCGTTGAAAGTTTGTTAACATGCTGAAGTTAGCATTTATCTCAAAGCACAACTGTGCCTAAGTAGAGACTCACATAGCTAGTAGTCTTGCTGCAGCCTTGTGTCAATGTTAAATGTGTTTCCCAATCAGTCCATTTAATGATCATATTCTTTAAGCATGCATAGGGCATTGGGCAAATATCTACTTTGCTCAAAATGTCCCACAGTCTTTTCTATACTGAACAAAATTATAAACACAACACTTTTGTTTTTGCCCCCATTCATCATGAGCTGAACTCAAAGATCTAAGACTTTCTCAATGTACACAAAAGGCCTATTTCTCTCAAATATTGTTCACAAATCTGTCAAAATCTGTGTTAGTGAGCACTTCTCCTTTGCCGAGATAATCCATCCACCTCACAGGTGTGGCATATCAAGACAGACAGAAGGGGTGTTGCACAGCTGGCCCCAATAAAAGGCCACTCGAAAATGTGCAGTTCCATCACACAGCACAATGCCACAGATGTCGCAAGTTTTGCAGGAATGTCCCCCAGAGCTGTTGCCCGTGAATTGAATGTTAATTTCATTAACATAAGCCATCTCCAAAGGCGTTTCAAAGAATTTGGTACTACATCCAACCGGCCTCACAACCGCAGACCACGTGTAACCGCACCTGCCCAGGACCTCCGCATCCAGCATCTTCACCTCCAAGATCGTCTGAGACCAGCCACCCGGACAGCTGCTGCAACAATCGGTTTGCATAACCAAAGAATTTCTGCACAAACTGTCAGGAACCGTCTCAGGGAAGCTCATCTGCGTGCTTGTCGTCCTCATCGGGGTCTCGACCTGACTGCAACTTTGCACAGCCATTGAAAAAGAGTGGACCAACATTCCACAGGCCACAATCAACAACCTGATCAACTCTATGTGAAGGAGATGTGCTGCACTGTGTGAGGCAAATGCTGGCTACACCAGATACTGTCTGGTTTCCGGACACCCCTGGACCCCCTTGCACCCCCTCAGTACAGTGAAACTGCACATTTCCGAGTGGCCTTTTATTGTGGCCAGCCTAAGGCACACATGTACAATACCCATGCTGTCTGATCAGCATCTTGATATGCCACACCTGTGTGGTGGATGGATTATCTCGGCAGAGGAGAAGTGCTCACTAACACAGATTTTGACAGATTTTTGAACAATATTTGAGAGAAATAGGCCTTTTGTGTACATTGAGAAAGTCTTAGATCTTTGAGTTAAGCTCATGATGAATGGGGGCAAAAAAGGGTCGCGTTTATACTTTTGTATAAAAGAGATGAGGTAAGAAAAGCTCTCCATCTCTGGGTATTTGCTTCTTTTGAAGTAGCGATTGCATTGAACATCAACAGTAGCTGTTCTCCTCCTGTCCTAAAAT